GCACTGGGATGGACTGGGAGGCACTGGGATGAACTGGGATGGACTGGGATGAACTGGGGTGGACTGGGATGCACTGGGAGGGACTGGGAGTTACTGGGATGGACTGGGAGGCACTGGGATGGACTGGGAGGCACTGGGATGAACTGGGATGGACTGGGATGAACTGGGATGAACTGGGGTGGACTGGGATGCACTGGGAGGGACTGAGATGGACTGGGAGGCACTGGGAGTCACTGGGAGTCACTGGGAGTTACTGGGAGTTACTGGGATGGACTGGGATGAACTGGGAGTTACTGGGAGTTACTGGGATGAACTGGGATGAACTGGGATGGACTGGGAGTCACTGGGAGGCACTGGGATGGACTGGGATGGACTTGGATGGACTGGGAGGCACTGGGAGTCACTGGGATGAACTGGGATGGACTGGGAGGCACTGGGACGGACTGGGAGGGATTCGAACCATACTGATCCATACTGATCCATACTGGTCCATACTGGTCTGAACTGGTCCATACTGGTCCATACTGGTCTGAACTGGTGTCTTGGCTCCTCCCCCCCAGGCCGGTGGGGGCGGGGCAGACGCTCCGGCTCAGCCAATCGGTGAAGCCCCTGCGGGCCGGACGGCGCCTCCTGGTGGCCACCCTGGAGAGCTCCGGCCTGGGGCCCCTCCACGGGACCCTCCAGTTCGACGCCGCCCCCGCCCCAACTGGGAGCACTGGGAGCACTGGGAGGGACCCCGCGGGGGGGGAGGAGGGAGCCCCCCGGGCCAGGAGGGGGAGGGGGAGGAGGGCGGGGAGGAGGACGGGGAGTACCGGGGGGTGAACTGGGAGGGCACTGGGAGGGCACTGGGATGGACTGGGAGGGACTGGGAGGAATTTGGATGGCACTGGGAGGGACTGGGAGGGACTGGGATGGACTGGGAAAGCAAGGGGATGGACTGGGAGGGGATTGGGGGGCACTGGGAGGGACTGGGAAGGTGTTTGAGGGTCACTGGTTTATACTGGGAGGGACTGGGAGGGCCTGGGAGGGGCTGGGGGCCGACCCCAGGAACTCTGAGTGGTACTGGGTTATACTGGTTTATACTGGGAGGGGATTGGGGGGCACTGGGAGGGTTTGGGAGGGAACTGGGAGGGACTGGGAGAGACTGGGATGGCACTGGGAGGGACTGGGAGGGGACTGGGAGGAATTTGGAGGGCACTGGGAGGGACTGGGAGGGAAGTGGGATAGACTGGGAGGGACTGGGAGGGGTTACTGGGATGGACTGGGATGAAGTGGGAGGGCACTGGGATGTACTGGGAGGGCACTGGGATGAACTGGGAGGGCACTGGAATGTACTGGGAGGACACTGGGATGAACTGGGAGGAGTTTCCACCACACTGGGAGCACTGGGAGGGCATTACTGGGAGCACTGGAACCAGTTTGTCCCGTACTGGGAGCACTGGGAGCGGCCCCGCCCCCTCCCAGTCGCGCCCCGATGACGTCATCGTGTGGTGACGTCACCCCAATAAAGCCTCGTTTGGAAACGCCGCCGTGTGATGTCATTGAGGGGGCGGGGCCTCGGGTTGGGTTCGAACTGGGAGGGACTGGGAGGGGATTGGGGGGCACTGGGAGGGACTGGGAGGGGATTGGGGGACACTGGTTTATACTGGGAGGGAACTGGGAGGGACTGGGAGGGACTGGGATGAACTGGGAGGGGATTTAGGGGGTTACTGGTTTATAGTGGGAGGGACTGGGACGGAGTTTGGGGGTTACTGGTTTATACTGGGATGAACTGGGAGGGAGTTTGGCGTTACTGGTTTATACTGGGAGGGACGAGGATGAACTGGGAGGGGATTTGCGGGTTACTGGTTTATACTGGGAGGGACTGGGAGGACCGAAATGTGGGATGGGATCTCTTAAAGGGGCAATGACTCTTAAAAGGGCAATGGCTCTTAAAGGGGCAATGGCTCTTAAAAGGGCAATGGCTCTTAAAAGGGCAATGGCTCTTAAAAGGGCAATGGCTTTTAAGGGTCACCTTCGGGGTCCCCCAATGTCACCCTGGGGGTCACTTTGGGGGTCACTTTGGGGTCATTTTGGGGTCATTTTGGGGTCACTTTGGGGGTCATTTTGGGGTCACTTTGGGGCCATTTTGAGGCCACTTTGAAGGTCATTTTGGGGGTCATTTTGGGATAATTTTGGGGGTTATTTTGGGGGTCACTTTGGGGATCTCTTTGGGGTCATTTTAGGGTCATTTTGAGGTCACTTTGAAGGTCAATTTGGGGGTCACTTTGGAGTCACTTTGGGCCCATTTTGGGGTCATTTTGGGGCCTTTTGGGGGCCATTTTCGGGGCCATTTTGGGGTCACTTTGAGGTCATTTTGGGGTAATTTTGGGGTTATTTTGGGGTCACTTTGGGGCCACTTTAGGGTCATTTTGGGATAATTTTGGGGGTCACTTTGGAGTCACTTTGGGGTCATTTTGGGGACCATTTTGGGGTCATTTTGGGGTCATTTTAGGGTTCATTTTGGGGTCACTTTCGGGTCATTCTGCGGCCATTTTAGGGTCATTTTGGGGGTCACTTTGGGGTCGTTTTGGGATCACTTGGAGGTCACTTTCGGAGTCAGTTTGGGGGTCACTTTGGGGTCACTTTGGAGTTCAATTTGAGGTTCACTTTGGGGTCACTTTGGGGTCATTTTTGGGTCATTTTGGGGGTCACTTTGGGGTCATTTTGTGATAATTTTGGGGGTCATTTT